CTAGATTCTGTTTGCAAACTGAGAGTTCTAAATCTGCCCTAACTCCATTGATTTCAATGGTCTAACTTAGATTAAACAGTGTTGCTTCTAATGAACGTGCATCTACTGTAGATAAGATCCTAATTTCTCCAAAATCCTGACAGCAAGGACCATGATTTAGCTGGCAAAAGATAAGAAAGTAGAAGGAAACGTTGACCCTCTTTCATTCCATCTGCAAATTTTACCTTGACTCCTGTACTGCAGAGATGTCTGACCTTTCAAGCAGGTGGATGCCACATTTCTCATGGAGATGCACAGGAGAAACACTCAGCCTTTCTCTGCCAGATAACAGAGCGTGCCCATCATGGAGCTGCAGCCATCCCCTACACCAGGACTGTCAGACAGACTCCCAATTCTGTTTCTGTGTACACAGCCTCAAAGCTATGTGGGTGGAGGAGCACTTGTGTTGAGGGTGCCCAGATTTCTGCAGCTGTATTACACAGAAGTCGAGACATGCGCTTTGGGGAGAGGGGCTCATTAACCCTTCGGGAAGTCAGTGGTTGCTAGAGCAGCTGGAATGACTTCTGCTCTGTTCTTTGATCACATCTCAGGTGTTCCTGAGGACTGAGTTTAACAGTATATGAAATGACTATGCAGAATGGATCAAAAGACCATTGTAGGACAACATCCTTGGATGCCATTAAGCACTTATTTTTTAATCAAACACTACTTCTTCCCTAGTAGGTCAATAATGTAATAAAAATGGCTTTTAATGTTTTTACTTTGTTTGCAACTGATACTTTCTTCCAGGTTCAGTGCAAGTTTGATTACTACTGAAACCATTTATTAAATAAAAGGAGTAAAAACTAAGCCAAAGGTTTCAGTTTTACTGAAATTTGGCAGCTGGAGAAACACCAAGGCTAACAACTGCCAAGCAGAGACAGTTCTGAACAGAGGTTTAAAAAAAAAATTAATATTTGTCAACAAATCTTTCATAAATTATTTGGTTCAGGGCTGCTGAATCAAAATATTTTCCGCAACAACTTTGCCAAAATATAGTCTATTATTTAGAATTCCTTTCTCCTCAGAGAAAAACTCCAAAATCAAGAGAAACTTCTGGTTATTAACACTTATTACATTTAGTTGGCCTTGAAATTAGGAAAAGAGGTCCAGTACCTAATTAAACTAATTTTTTCAAAAATCCACCTGACTACAGAGGCTTTTGAGTTACTTCAGAGAGAGCATAGGGCTTTCCCCTATCTAGAATGCATGAAACTGCAAATTTAATTATTAATCTTCATTTCACACATTGCATTCATAGTGATAGAGTTTTATGCAACATCACCAGAATTTAGTGCAGTCGTATTATTACAGAACAGTTAAGAACTAAGCCCATTGTGCCCTTCTTAGATCCTCTAAGTACTGCTGGAGAATCCCTCATATAATTTGTCATTACCAGGAGCATTAATGCAAGTGGACAGGTTTGAATTAATAATCAAACCTTCCTGATACCTATTCTGAAGTTCACGTGGAGGCAGTCAAAGCATTAATATGATGCATGTCAGACTAAGCAGAGCATTCAGGATATGTCTAGGCAGAAAAGTGAAATGATCACTGCACAAGAAATGGCCAAATGTCTGAAAGCTTTTTTGTGACAAGAAAGAGTACTGAAGGATGTGATGATTCAGATAAGCTTTTTTTTCTGATAAAAATAATTTCCCTGGTGCTGCTTTCATTAATCCTTGTATTCTACCAGTGTGTGCTTTTTACAATCTCTTTGTTGCTGTAACACTGATTGATTGAAATTCTCAATTTGTAGGTCTCCTTGAACATGTTTATTCAGAGGATGGGACTTGCACAAAACAATACACTTGTGTGAGGCAATCTCATCACATCAGCCTTCATTATCATTTTTAGATTGTCTAACTGGAGTACTTGTCAGTGTTGTAGATCCTGTGCTCTCACAAAATGGCTTCAGTTGTTGTGTGCTGATCTTTGGTACTACATCAGCCTTAGCTTTACTGTGATATCTGAATTAGGCAAGAATCCAATTGCCAAAACTGTAACTCTTCTGCACTAATACAATGGCACATTTTGAGCACTGGAGCTGAGGTCTTTCTCAGCATTGTGGGATTTTTTTTTCTGCCTCAATTTCTCTTTGTTTTTTAAAAATTTAAATACCATCATTCCTATCTATTTTGAGATTCTAAGTTTATGCAAATGACACAGCTTACTGCATTGCTCTACTTCAAACAAGGGTGAAGAGTTCTGAGTTAGTTTCATATTTTCCACAGCTGGATGATGTGTCTATCCATTCCCCTCTCTGACATATTGCATGCCTTTAAATCCATCATGAGTCATTTTTCTTATATGGAGGCTAATTAACATCTTGGAAGCAGATTGCTTGCTTTGTCTTGATATTTCTTTTTTAAGTAACCAGATGCTGTAATTACTGTGTATACAGTACTTTTTGCCTGTAGGTTGCTGGATAGCACTCCCCATCACTCTAATTAGCAGAATAAAGTTAATTTAAATAGTAAAAGATGAGACAAATTTGTTTAGAAGTCTTTGAATGTAATAGGAAGAAAGATTTGTACCGAGTTATAAAAGCAAAATAAACCTGTTTCAAATAATTAATGTTAGAACACTTAATTCCTTTCCTTTTTAGTGCTACTAATATTTCCTAGAAATTCTCCTACTTTTAATTATATTCCTTTTATATACCATGTATATGCTAATACTCTATGTTGATTTGCTGTAAAATAGATCTACATTTTTCATAATTATATTCCTGATGAAACCTGTATTTATTGGTCTTTCTTCTCTATCCCAGTGTCTATTTTGATTACCTCATTCCTAGTGCTTAATTTCTTCTGATTTTTCATGAGAAGCTGAACAAACTGGATAGGTATTAAGAAGAAAGATAGCTTATTTTTAATTACTTTTTAGGTGACAAAAGGAAATTAACTTTCTGTGAGATCTGGTTTAAAAGGATCCATATAAAGAAGCAAAGGGAAGGAGATACAAGGCATAGAAACATGAAGACATAAGGGATGAGTCAATTCAAATCACTCTCCTCCTAGCCACTATTGGTTGTGTTTTCATAGCAGATTTACTTATGGACAGTGTCAGCTTGTCTGTATTTTAATTGGTTCTTTATAAAATGTCCTTTATTGCAGCTGAACTCCTCTCAGATGAGAGGGGCTTTTTACATCAGACTTTCACCAGAGGCTTTCTGAGATCCAAACACACTGTGTCACGTTTTAATCATCAGACAAGACTACAGCATGTTCCAAATAGCTAAGGCAGATTTTGACATGGGAGGTATTAAAGAAAGGTAAGGAAAAAAAAAAAGAATTCAATGGGACATGTCATCAGCTGAAATGCCAGACACATGCACAATGAAAGGGCTTGAACTGAGAATGATACTCATATCATATCCAGAAATAAGATTACGACCTTCCTTCATGCAAAGCCAATGTTTAATTAATGACAATTATTGCAACTTTTTTTTCCTGTCATAGTTTGTGAGTATTCAAAAATGTTTTCCTATAACCATTAAGTTACATTAACAATTATCAGTTACATGATGATGAATACCATAAAGTTCTCTCCCAGCCTTCAGCTCAGTAAGTTGTGTGTTGCACAGCTGTGACTGTAACTATAAAGTGATAGAAAAATACTATTTCTGCAAAATACATCTTGTTTGTTGGGTTTTGTCCTGCATTTTTACTAGTCTTGGTGGGCCCCTAATAAATAAGAAGAGCAACAAAAGTGACCTTTAAAGTCTATGTGAACTCTTTGTTAATGTCAGGGGAACAACATAAAAATTATATTTCCAATAGGAAATCTTGTTTTGTACCCTGCTCTCTGAAATCAGGAGGAAGTATAACATCAATGCCACACAGGAAATAAACAAAAAAATGGAATAGCAATGGAGCCAACCTGAGGAACCCTTAGAAGTCCAAGTGTTATTGACAAGATGGTGTATGATAAGAAAATAATATAGAATAAAAGAAAATAGCAGACCTATGTGTCTTGTTTTGGGTATCTGGTTGGTTATTTTTCTGCATTTCAGGAAGCATTTAAATGAAGAAGCTAAAACGTTCCTCTTATGTGTTGTCTCTTTATGGACAAACATAATTTTTTTATGAGTAAAGTCAGTCCCTGCAATGTGCTGACACTGTCAGAGGAATGATGAGCTGTGGGAAAGCATTCAATTCCAACAGACTGACCTTGGGGATCAGTCAGATAAAGACAGTTAAAGGAAGGGTTTCCGTATTTTTTGAGTTTGCTGATGAGCTTGGTTAATTGTCAACACTAAAAGGTTCCAAACTGCTGTTGCCAGACCATATTAGTGGTCTGTGGATTAAACCACTAAACCATACAATGCTTAGGATGCCAGTTGCTAAATTAGAGGAGTTGTTGGTGTGAGGATTGAGATATTTGTGGACACATCAACCTTCTTACTGTTGTGTACAGGGGAAAAAAATGGGGCAGCAGAAAATAGTAATCAAGTACAGAGCAGTCTGAGGAAGTAGCTGGAACAAAGAATCAACAGGGAAATATAAGAGAGGACCACAAATCAAGTCTTAAGGCAGGGAAGATGGGGAACAAGTGCAGAATAGGTGCAGGTTTTTCAGGCAAAGGAATAATCCATTTAAGACAGAAATGATAAAAGGAGATTGACATAAAGTTCATACATGTTTGAAGTGAGCTGTGTTGCCTAGGTGCTTGGTAAAGAGAAAAGGACATTCATCCATCCCAGCTACAGTCTCTTTTGTCTCTTACTCATGCCGAGTAATCACCCAGCTTATTTTACTTACTAAACTGACATAGCCTTAACAGTAACTGAAAGGTTGGATGGTTTTAATTTTACAATATCTTGTGATATCAGTAAGCAGAAACACTACTCGCTCTACAGAGAATTTTTATGAGGTTCAATTTCATTAATTTTTTTTTCCCTGAAGGAAGCAGGAATTTTATATGCAGGATATGCCAGATGGAAAGCACCCAGTTGGAGACGCTGAGTTTTGCCAAATTCCAGGTACTCTGACATGCTGCAAAGGAGCTGATCAGGGACCATAAATGGCAAGTAGGATGTGTTTGAAATCTACCTCAACTCTGAACAAGTTTCACAGGAATCTGTGACTTCATAAAACAATTCTGAAAAATTAGCAATTTCCAAACAATAATACACAGCTTCTCAACCCCTCAAACCACACATCACGTTTAAAAGCACTTCTAGATCTGTGCAGTTTCTACTAGGCTGAAGTCAGTATCAGTCAGAAGGCTGCTAGACTTAAATTTATTAGTGTCATTGTTGGCAGCCAATAGTGGCTGAAGTAAAAACACAAACTACTGTAATGTGTTGCTGGAGTGTGGTCTAAAGATGATGAGATTATTTATCTTCTGCGAAACTCAAACAGTTTAGCTGAGTACAATTTGACCAATTTGAACGGGGCATCTGTCACAACCGAACCCCAGTGCTTTTTATAAAAACATCATGTTCTGGGTGATGACAGTCCTGTGTCTTGTTCCCCTGTACTGTGTGTACTGCAGGGTTGAGATAACTCTTCTGGACACACAGAATGAAGATATTGTTATCTAATACTGGTGTTCTGAAGGGCAGAGGGGTGAATGAATGTCACTCTGGGAGCACACCGTATTTCTCTGGTGGTAAAGCAGACTAATATGGAAAATCTCATACTGCAATGATTTCTCCCATATGTCTGTCTGGAGTTGTAGCCTTCTCTTTTGCTGTCAGATTATTTTCTTCAATACTGACTTGAATTAAATGATTATACATATATATTAGGTAAAGAAACATGAATTACAAAGAAATGCTTCATAAAGTAAATTGTATTTTTGACTGTTTAGAAACAGAAAAACAAGAAAGAATTTGGAAAAGTAGGCAAAACATAGCTCTTTCTTAGCCCATTATTCTTCTAAGAAATCAATAGCTGGAAATATTATTTTGCTGTGTTTTACACATTTTAAATAGCTGTAAAAGAAAACGTGTATTTTTTTTAATTTCATGAATGAGTGGAGAAAACTGCTGTGAATGGTAGTCAGTCACAATTGTTCCAAACTTCAACAGGAAAAGCAAAGTCAACCATTTTGCTTTTTCTGAATATTAATTCTGCTTCATGCTATGAATGTGCTACATCTAATATTCATATTCACACAGATTTTAGATATGTTTTCCACAGGTTTTAGAAAGGAAAATGTGGAGGTGGAAACATTGCCTGTGATTTTCCTGACACTCTCCATCCAGTCAGTATTATCTCTGTGATACCTGCATGTGAAATGCCCCACTGCATCCCAGATGAACATGAGATCACCCCTTGTTTTTTCTCTTAGTCTGAAGCCATCAGTGCTGCTCTAAGTCATAAGCAACTGGTTTTGGTCCAGCTGAGAGGCAGCTGCTTTAAGTGATGGGTGAAGGTCTTGCTATACCAGGTTTGATTTCTCAGTGTCTGGTGGGTTTGGGACAAAGCTTTCAAAGTGGCAGGAAATGTTGTGTGCTGAAGCGAAGCAGTGCAGGCCTCCCTGTGGTTAAGGGCATCCTGCCGCTGACTGGGCTGGAGTGCAGGTTACCAGGTGTCACCAATGTTAAAGCAGTGACCTTTCAACTCATGGACCTCTGCCATCTGCCTCTTCACCATGCTGTGCCTTTTCTGGGCTTTAAAGCAGTCTGCAGATAAGTTAATGTACCTGTCATCTTGCCCCCAGTGACATTTGTGACTGGTCTTTCAGATTTCTCCAGTAATGCCGCTCACATTTTACGGTTTTGATTCCCTCATACTGTAGATTTAGTTTTATTTTTCTGTAGATATTCCCTGGGGCCAAAACAGAAGGAAGAGGAAATCTTTGCTGCAAAAGTCTTATATTTATGAGGCTTATGCTGACAGGGAGGGGGAAGAGCCTTAAAAAATAACTCCAGTTGTTTTTAAATCTTTGTTCACATTTTAAAATGATCTGTGGAACACAGATTTGTGCCTATAAAACAAACAAACAAGAAAATCTTATGATGTTATTAATAAAGCAAGCGGCTCATCTTTCAAAATCCCATTTTAGCCAGGCAGTGATTTTCAATGAAACCTGACATGTTCATTTTTGCCAAACTTAGCAGCCCCCAAGGCCTGTTGAAAGTCACTTGAAAAACATTTTCTTAACAGATCAGTTTTATTTGCTGAAGCTGTAGCATCTCCTGTTTTTGTAAAGATTTGTTTCTTTTACATGTGTATTAGTTGAGCAGCAAGCTGACACTGGTGACGTAGCTTAACAAAGTTGGCTAGTTATACAACATTGAAGAACAATAATAGTCATTTAGTTAGCACCTTTTTATGTTGGCAACTATATTTTCCTTTTTCCATTTATTGTAGAGAATTAATACTTGTGAATCTATTGGCATAATTGATGTCAGCTGGGGAATTGAAGCCAGCCTTGCAAATATGTTAATTCTCACTGCAAATGATAGAAAGCACTGGGAAAAATCCAGATCTCCTTTGAATCCATTGACTTCTCTGAGCTCATTGGGTATTTTCCATGTTAAACACATAATTTTGTTCAAAAATGCCTCCCAGACTCTTGGTACACATTTTATTAAGAAAGACAGTCTGCTAGCTGCCCATTAAGATAGTCTGCTTGATAGAGTGAATAAGCACTCATACTTTTTGAACAAGTGTGGCTATTTACTTATAGCTATGTCAGGAAAATAATAAGTTAAGAAATGTTGATGAAAGGCATTGCTTTTGTGGTCTTGCTTCTAGTACAGAATGAGGAAAGGATGCTTTTGGTTGGACTCAGCTATGTTTTTTATATCATAAAAAAAAAAACAAAAAAACAAACAAAAAAAAAAACACCAAGAAGAAAAAACTCATGGTTCTTTCTTTCCTCCTCCTCATCCACAATCTTCTTTTAGTCAGAGGGATAATCTGCAGATACTACATGCCTGCCAGCCTGACCTTGGTGTCAGGGAAGGTCATGAGGCAAATCATCTTGAGTGCCACCATGAGCTGTGTGCAAGACAACCTGGAGATCAGACTCAGCCAGCACGAGTTTGTGAAAGACAGGTCCTGTTTGACTAACCTGATGTCCTTCTGTGGCAAGGTGACCCTCTGAGTGGATGAGGAAGAGGATGTGAATGTTGTCTACCTGGACTTTAGTAATGCCTTTGACACAGCAGAACTTTTATCTGTCCCCTGTATGAAGTTTAAGCAGATCTGTGTGGGGTGAATGCAGCGCTGGTGTCAGCAGGAGGGCCTGAACTCTTTCCCTGCATCTTTCCAGATTTGGGGATGTGGGCATGGTTTGAAGGGCTCACTAGAGTCATCACAGTCCTGCTTAGTTCTGTAGAGCACAACAGCTCTTTTTAGATGTGACATCTAGATTTCTCTTCAAACTCTTGGTACTGCCAAACTGAATTTTTAATGTATCCTACATGGTGAGAAGGAGCCAACAATTTGCAGAAGTTCTCCCAGTCAACCTCTTACTTGTAAGAGATGCTTACTAAGCCATGGGATGAATAGTGATTGAACTTGTGAAAATCTTCCTCAGTATGAATTGGTCTCAACAAAAGCTGACTGGGTGTTTGAAATGTCATATAGATATAGCAAATAATGTTCCTTTTCCAGCTGTAAAATCAACATCTCTGAGCTTTGCATCGTAAGAGAGGACTAAGGGATCCTGAGGGATCATGTACAGGACTTTCCACTTGACTCATATGCTGCTCCATCAAGAATAAATCTTGAGAATCACAAAGGTGCCTACCATCTGAATTAAACACCCTAAAGTGATCAAATAGCACTGAAAGCGATGGCATCTTCAGGTATAAGAGATATGAGTAGAGCAGGAACTGGAAAGTAGAAAAAGTCTGGAAAGCTCTATTCTGAAAGAGAAATGAATCTTGGTGTCTCATAGCAAGTGCTTGAATTCACAAGTCACTTCTGTATCAAATATGCAGGAAAAACATCTTCAAAGTGGCACTGTTTTTGCATCTGGCTTCTGAAATTCCTCATTTTGTGTCTAAACTTGGGTACTGAGTGCGCTGTGCATTGAGAATTTTCTTGCACAGTTTTCAGAATAATTATGATAATGAATTCAGTAACCCTCTCTTAATGTGGTTATCATTCTTCCCTGGTTTCAACAGGAAATTATAGGTTAATTTGAGCAGAACTTTTAAAATATGTTAACATTGTATAAGAGGTTACATCTAAGGCTCACTACTTGAAGATTTTGCCATGATCTGATAATAAGTGGTAAAACTAAAATATCCATGTTGAGGAAGGAAATAATTCAATTTGACAATGCAACAATAATTTTCTCCTGCATGAATTAAGATGAGGGTTTTTAGACAATATTATTTAGCTTGTGCTATGTCTCCTGGTGTCTCTGCAGATAAGTGTTGACACTCCATGCTGATGTACAGTGGTCTTCTGGGCTGGATACTTCAGCTCTTTAAGAGCTACTACCTATAAAAAAGATAGGTTTCAACTGGAAGAGAACAATCTTATGCAATTTCATTTTTTTCATATTTTTTGCTTGTCTGACCTATTTTTCTTTTCGGGTTTTTTTTGTTTGTTTGTTTGGGTTTTTGTTTGTTTGTTTGTTTTCTGCTGGTGTTTTCTTTTTTAAAGTTATTACTTCATGCCAGTAATTTTATAATGACAGAGTCTCACATTTCCTGATAGTTTATATTTAGTACTTGAAAAATTCCCACATATATATCTGTAAATTGTGAAAAATAGCCCTTTTCTACCAGGTATGTATTTTAAGGTATCTCTAAGTAAAATAAAGATACTCTGTTTTCAGCACTTGTGAAGCTGCATCTGCAGTGCTGGATCCTGCTCTGAGTTCCCCAATACAACAGAGAGATGGAACGGTAGGAAAAAAACATCAAAATATCACCAAGATGATGAAGGAATTGGAGCTTCTCTTGTATGACTAAAGGCAAAGATAAATGTGACTCTTCACCCTGGAGAGGATAAGGTTTAGGAGCATCTTATAAGTGAAGGGAGGGCACAAAGACAACAGTCAGGTTCTTTTCAGATACACCCAAGAGTCAATGGTCACAAACTGAAACACAGGAGATTCCCTTTGAACATTAGAAAACACTGTGAGGATGATGGAGTGCCAGCACAGGCTGCTCAGGGAGGTTTTGGAGTCTCCGTCCTTGGAGATATCCAAAAGCTGTCTGAAGAGGGTTCTGGGTTGCCCTGCTCTAGGACCCTCCATGATCAGGGGGTTTGAGCAAGATGACCTCCCCAGCCCCTTTCTAACCTCAGCTGTTCTGTGATTCTGTGAAATGCCAAACCTCATGATTTTGGGTTGAAAGTAAAAACCTCTGATATCTCAGAATTACAGCCATGTTGACCTTCTAACGAATTTAGCATCACTGAAATGTTACAGTCTTTTGTTTTTTCTGTTCCCCTCTTCTTTCTTAGGGCTTGTATGTACACATTGTACTAAATTCTGGATTTTCAAATAGCTGATAGATACAGAAGAGATTTTCTTCTTCTGTTGCTTTTCATGCAAATTAGTTTGAACACAATAAAGTCATTTATCAGGTTCTTGGAGATAGATGTGGATTTACTGGGAGGTCCAGAGGCTACAGCCTTTTTTTCTCTTGAGGTGCCTCTTGATACAGTACACCTTAGCCTTTATCTGGAGGCCTCTTTGGCCTCCCAAGTCCAAACCAGTTGAATCCATCACTTATGCTTAGCTACCTGAGACCTTCAGATCCCCAAAGTGCTGCCAGACACCTACAGCTAGCAATTTATTTATTTAGAGTTATGGTAGTTGCACAAGCAAATGTAGTTCTCGTCTAAGAGGCTTTGCTGATTACAAGCCCTGCTTACTCACAGCAAGGTAATTTACTGCCTGCAGGGCAGGACTTGGATATACCCAAGCTTTCTGGACAGCTAAATGGATCATTCCATTCCATTGCTCATTCACTTGCTGGCCTCTCTCAGACTGTTTACAAAAGCACTTATCCTGCAAATGCTTACTCATGTAAGCTATAATACTCTAATCAGAAAGTAAGTGGGGCTTGGAGACATTAAGGTTTTTTTTTTTAGAGAGTAAGCACTTTCAGGGCAAAACCCAAGGGTATCAGAAATGATGATAATTTTCTGCATAGTGCATTGTCTATTTTTACCTCTGAGTCTGGATCTTTACATAACTTTCTATTAAATTGAGATCTTCCCTTCGTAGATCAGCCGAAGCCCAGTAGGAAGACATTCTTATGCTTCAAAGCATTTCCTAATGACTCCCTATAAAATGAAATGAAACATTAGCCTGAATTATAGCTGTGATACTCTTCTAAGTTCTTTTTTAAGCACTAAATTATATATTAGCAGTGACTGTGTCCTTTCTTCTGTCCCTCTGAATCTCACTTTAAGCTTATCAAATAACTGCTTTAACAAAAGTTGGCATTGAGGTTCATGACTTGTCCTTTTAAAACAGGATTGTTTACAAATGTCTTCCCAGCACCTAATGACTTACATGAAAGTGCACTTTTTCATCTCCAAGGATGAAGAAGAAAATGAAGATGTGCCTGTGCAGGGTCAGCTTTGTCCCAGAGACTGAAAGATAGTCATCAAAGCAAAAAATTCACTAATTTGATGAGTGGAAGACTCTGAACTACCCAGGCAGACATTAACTGGTATGTATATGCTTGACTTGCTGCTGCTGCTGCTGTTACCACTCTTTTTAATAGTGCTCCAACTGCCTTTAAAAGCAAGTTTCTTGTAAGAATGCTTTCATATCTCAAACAGTTCTGGTGATTTCACTCTTCAGCTATTTTCTTCCTTCAGCAGTTAAACAGCCTTTATAAACTCAAACTCAAGAAACATTAAAGCAAAGGGTGATGTTTTGCCAAGCCATATGTTCTTAAATGGTGTATTTTATGAAGCTGATAATAAATACTTTAAGGCATAGTAGCTAAAAAAAAAATACCAACCTAACGTAAGCAGGCACAATTCCAGTGATTTCAACATTAACACTAGGGATGAGTTTAAGTGTCTATTTTCACTCAGGACTGGGTATAGTGTTCAAACTGTGTAGGTTTCATTGACATTATGTGTTGGGCTAGAATCTAGACTAAAACTGTATTTTTTCTACTCAATTGAAAAATTACTTCACCCAATTTCCAGCTTTATTGCTTTGCAGAAGTATTAGAATGCTGGTATAATGTGTTCACTAGGTATAAAATCTTGCCTGGTATTTGATTATTTTCCTATTTCAGCAACTTTTTAACGACATTGTTCATCTGCAAACATTTTAATCCTCTTTTACATGAATAATAAACTTCTAATACATGCACAATTCTATATAAAAACACCAACTCTAGGCCATAAAATGACTATTCAATTGAATAATAAATTGCAACACCAGGTAATCACCAAATACAATGCTTTAAGTCTTTCTACTCAGTATGCCAGAGAAATACAGATAACCTCAGATAGTTAAAGTGGTGGAGTTTACTTTATACTTGTAGAAATATGCTGCACAGATGTTGCTTATTTAAGTTTTGGTGATGGGGGAACAGATAGCTTGGACTGCCAGGCTAGGCAGTCTTAGTTCCTTTTTCTCCATCTAGAAAAATTTTTGGAGGTAGCTCCTTCTGCCTTATCTTTCCTTAGATGTGGAACAAGAAGGCTTTGAATATTGATGGATTTTATATTGTTCAAAATTTTCCTTTGTTCTCATTCCTTCACTGGATATATAATTTCTCTCTCCTTCCTAGATTGTATTCTATCCTGCACTTTGACTTTAAATAGATATCTGAGGTGTGAGGTGATAATATGAGGGTAAAGCTCACTCTTACAGCTTAAATACTCATTTCACACTATTTGAAATTTTTTAGAAAAAAATCTATTTATATAAGGAAACTCTATGCTCATCATGACCGAAATTGAGAGGTTATCATGGCATTTTTCTGACTTTGTTTTTGGCCTTCAGATAACTAGAAATTTCTCTCTATAAATTGCGACATTTAAGAAAAAGGTTTAAAATCACTGTAAAGCTTCAGATTTTTAATTTCCATTCTTCCAAAGAATGTCAACATGAAAGAGAAAAGATACAAGGGAATGGCATTTACTGGCATTTTACTTTTTAAAATAATGCTGTATTGAATGGAGTAATGTGTTAAAGGACCATAAGGAGACAAACCCAACTCATTGATCAAAGGATATTTTTAATGAGTGAAGAGAAATTTACAGTATATCTGTCATTTTAACAGCATTAAGGAAGTTTCAGGAACATTAAATCCTTAAGTAATTTATCTTTTAAAAAAATCTATTTTTCCCTTTAGATACTTAAAAAGGAGATTATAAACATGCTGTAGAATTAATAATTAATTATTATATATTAAACCTTGATCATTATCTCATGACTATATAATCTTTTGGTTTCTTGTCTCATCATTGAATATGTTTACTTGTGTTTGTGTATGCCAAATCATTTCATGATAACATGGATTTTCATAGAAAGTTATGGTAAGTTTTTGGAAAGCAGAGATCAGCCTCAATATTACAACCATGTCTTTATTTTTCTCTACAACCTATTGAGACATCCTCAAAAAAAGATCAGGGCTAATTTTATTTCAACTGGTGTTGAAATAAACAAGATATTAAGGAAATAATAGACTACTGATATTTATAGACAGAAAAAACCTACAGCAGAGCTGAAAATTATAAATATTGCTTATAACAATAGCTAATGACTATCTCCTAAACTGATCAAAAGCATTATTAATTTTTTTATATTTAAAAATATTGTCCTAAATTTATTTTATCCTCTGAATAATGAAATACAGTTTTTCCCATTGTCATTCAGTTTCTTAAATCCCCTAAACTATAAATCTATCTGTGCTACCTGCGTGACTCCAAAATCTCTGTGGTTGGAGTCAGAGAGGTTGAGAAAAGTAGCTGTGTTATAAAAGAGACCAGAAAATATTTAGAGAATAAAATAAATGCACACACACAAAAAAGGTAAAAGTTACTTGTAACTCTTGCAGATAAGAAAATTTTTGTGAGTAAGACAAGAATTCTGAAAAATGTCACTAGGAATCGGCGCTGGCGAAATCCATGCAGGAAGGAAAAGGGACGGTAATTATTTGGCTCCAGTTTTGCCAATGAAACACATGCAATCTTGTTCCTCCTCCTTGGCAAATGGCAAAAATCCCATTGACACTGATGGGGCCAATATTTCTCCCAATGTCCTGATGCAAGCTCGGCACAATAACCAACCCACCCCCATTGCCCCCAGTAGGACTTTGCCACTGACTTCACTGGCAGCACTGCTGAGCCTTTTACCCTTAGGCCATGAGGCTGAAGTCAATGAGATATCTGCTTTAAATTAGGTCATGTATTCCAGTGTTGGTTGTGTGGGTTTGTTTTTGTTTTTTTTTATGGCTACATCAGGGTCAGATCCATACCATGGCAGAGAAGTGGAACAATCAGCTTTCAGTGTACACATGAAGGTTTGCAGAGATGTGATGCTGTATTACAGATTCGATCAATCTGAGCTCATTTTGGCTGTGATGTAATTTCCATTGGTTCCAGTGAATAAAATAGTAGAAACAAATCTGGCCTATTTAAGTAGCACTTTAGTATTTCTGTTTTACTTTAAGGGCAATAATTGTCATTGCCATGTTTTTTGAAGATACATAACATACATTATCAAGTACTCAAGTGGTGTACTTTGACATTGTATGTGAAGAGGAGAATATGCAGTCCAATATGATAATTATGGTGAAAAAAAGCCAACCCAGCTAACAGTAAACATCTAATTTGCAAATGAAGACCCACTGGGAAAAGATAAACTAGATTGTGTGATTGGATTTTCTCAGAAAACTTTTTTAAAATTGCTTTTTATATTTAATTAGTTTGATTAGTTTATTTATTTTGATTAAACAGTCAGTGCTTTGCAGATTGTTCTCCATTAGCAAGTGTAATTTTCATTTTTCTCTCTCTACTGAACCCATTTTTCTCTGGTCCTATGTTTTGTACTGCATTTGTATGACCTCTTTCACTTTTATTTTACAAGCAGTGGGAGAATAGATGAAATTATCTCTGTTTTCCATAAGGACATGTTAACCCTGAGCACTGGAGCCTGATGCTGATCTCCTTGAATCAATGTGGGTTTAAACAGATCAAGATGTACAGTGCAGCATTTCACCAGCACACTGGCACAAAAGCTGTTTGCACAGCACTGCTGCACCTCTCTGAGCCTTGATCCAGCCCCATAAGTTGCTAGGCTGGGTCTCAAATTCCTTATTGCCCCTGGCTAGTAGATATGACACCAGCTCAGCTCAGCTGTAGCCCATCTACCTGCTCCAAATATATGTAAAATGTAGGAAGCTACCAAACCTGTATAAAATCTTGTTTCCTGTTGAACGAAGCCATGTCCAATGCATGTCTTCCATATCCTACAGCAAAAATATCCTCGCAAAACACCACCTGTACTAACTCCACTGTGCAGAATAATTAAAAACACATTGCTATCATATAGGCTTCATGTAAACCTATAAATCAGGGGGATTCCTCTAAATCTAGTCATAAAAATGTTCTCTCTCTGCTAGTGCATTCTAGAGGAGGTTTTTGCTGAAAAACATGCTTTGGCTTGAAGGAATTGGCAAAGAGTGATGTCAGGTGAGTTGAGGCTCATGGAAACATCCTTGTAAACTGAAAGATTAATGTGTAGCCTTCTTTAGGCCAAGGCTGGTTACCCATTTTAGGAATACTCCAAAAGAGCTGAGAATGTTGTTCAGATGAATGTGTCTGTACTTGCTGCTCAGACACACAAGTGTTTTTGACATGGTACACTCTGCAGATTTTGGATAGAAATCTCACAACTTACAGGTGAGGGTTTCTAGGATGCCTGATAAGGAATATCCTCCCTGGAATCTTGGACAAAACACACTCCTTGGTGATTCAGTATTAAACCTGGTATTTGTGAAGTCATGGAAGTGATTCCTATACTTACACTGTGGAAACTAAAGAGTATTTGTATGCAAAAGGAAACCCCAATTACTAGGCAAAAGGCAGACAGAGTTCCAGTCTGAATCAAAGAGCAGTGTATTAATCTGTTCAAGGTAAGATAAAGACTAGGCTAAGGAAAAGAATACATGTATTCCAATGAATAACATTACTGGGCAGGAATTTTGAAGATTTGGTTGATACGCATCGTGAACCAAGAGAATGGCAAAATCCCTAGCTCTGGGCATTAGACCTCAAAAGAATGGCTAATATTGACATGTATGTTTGGACTATCCACCTAAAGGCAAAAGGTGCCTTTTTGCAGAAAGTGAATTTTGCACAGAGGCCAAAGTCAGATTTGCAACGAAAGATTTATGTGAGAAGAACTATGTGAAAGCAGCCTCAGTTCCCCTGTGCAATGAATATCTGTGCCTCAGTGGAGTAAAAGGGTTTCTGAAACAGGGGAATTTACAAACCACTAATTTAAACGAGATTCTTTCATCAGCTCTCCA